AAGGATCTGTTCAGTCCTCAGTGTAAGCTCAGATTCCCCTGCAATGTTTCTCTTCAGGTAGCAAAGGCTACCAAGTTTGTGGCGTCTCACACCGAGACTACTCATGTCTCAGCCACACTGTGAATTCTCCCACACACCCTCAATTTTTTTTTCACACACCCAGTTCATAAGCTCCACACATTCACTAGGTCTTAGTCTCCTGTTATTACTTCACACCAGAGTCAGGTTTTTCTGCTTGGCTGAGGGCAGGCGTAGCCCTGTGCTGGCAGAGCTGTAAAATATGTCCAAAATGGTGCCTGCTCTATTGTCTCGCATTCCTTTTTAAGGTGTATATATAGAGAGAATCGTGTCCGTACCGTCTCCTTCACTTTTTTCTCTTCTCTAGTTAAGCTGGTGTACTTTCCCCCATGGAGACTCAAGCCTCGTTCCCTCTCGGCTCATCCTGCCACTTTTCTACCAGTGTCTTGGGCTACTGCAGCTTTTGTCTCAGCTCTCCCTCCAGCACTGGTGCCGAGCCTCTCAGCAGCTGCGTCCCTGTGCCTGTGCTAAAACGTTGCTATACAAAATACGTTAGGAACCCTAACTACTTAACAGTAGGAAAGCAAACAAATCAGTTTAAAAATGAAGAATATAAATAGACATTTTCCAAAAGAATATATGCAAATGACCACCAATTATATGAAAAATGCTCATCACCAATTAATAGAGAAATAGAAATAAAAACCACAATAAAATATCACCTAACATGAAAAAAATTAGTAAGTGCCGAACAAGATATGAATAAGGGGAAACTTTATCACACTATTAAGGTGACTGTAAATTACTGCAGCATTTATGGAAAATACTATATAGAGGTTTCTTAAAAAATTCAATTACGGTATGATTCAGCCATCACAGCACTGTGAGTACATCCAAAGAAAATAAAACCATCTTGATGAAGAGAAGTTTGCATTCTTGTTTTCATTGCAGTACCATTCATAATAGCCAAGACATGAAACAACCTAACTAAAGGAAATGTGGCATAAATATACACAATAGAATGACATTTAACCTCAAAATAACAAGGACATTCTTCTATTTTTCACAACATAGATAAATCTGGAGGGCACACAAATGTTAAGAGAGATAAGCTTGGAATACCAAGACAAATTATGTATGATTCCTCATTTGTGTGGGGTCTAAAAAACTGAACTCAGAAGGAGGTAACAGAAAAATTGAATACCTGAGCCTGCGGAGGTGAAAGGAGTTAAAAGATTTTTGTCAACTGATAAAAGAATTCAGTTACTCAGGAAGAATAAATTCAAGACATCTGTGTTACAATCTGGAGACTGTAGTTAACAATTAACAATCATTGTATTCCTAAAAATTGCTGAGAGTAGATTTTGTCTTCTCTTCAAACACACACAAATTGATAAATATGTAAGGTTATTTATATCTTAATTATGTCAATTTAACCATTCCTCAAGTTATAAATACTTAAACATGTTTTACATGATAAATACAGTCATGCATTGCTTAATGATGGGGACATGTTCTGAGAAATGCATCCTTAAGCGTTTCTATTGTTGTGTGAACATCATGGAGTGTACTTATACAAATTAAGATGGCAAAAACATCACTAGGTGATGTAATCTTATGGTCACTGACCTGAATGAAATCTCATTAGATGGCACATAAATATATATGTAATTTTGTGAATTAAATATTAAACATTGTATTACTATATCACTCAGTGTTTTAGTTCAAAATCCATTTCAGGATTTCTACCCAAAAACAACAGCAGGGATTTAAACAGATTCTTGTATACCAATATTCATGCAGGTGCTATTCAGAATGAGCAAAAGTTAGGTACAGCTGTGTTATTCATTAAGGGATAAAGAGATAAACAAGATGTGATGTATATACAATGGAATTGTTTTAGTATAAAAAAGAATGAAGTAATGACATATGTGTATAAAGATAAGGATTGATTCTAAAGATATTCTAAGAAGCCAGAACCAAAGCTTGTATTTATTATTAGATTCTATTTTCTGAAATACCTAGAATACATAAATCCACAGAAATAGAAACATAAATTGATGGTTACCAAGGGATGGGGATGATTTAATGTATGTAGTTACTTTGTAGGTTGTGGCGGTGGTTTTTACAAGAGTGTCAATATATTAAATGCCACTACAGTGTGCATTTTAAAATGCTTAGTTTCATGTTATGAAAATTTCACCTAAAAGATAAAATTGTTAAAAACACATAATGTCAAATTTACCATCTTACCTATTGGTAAGCATACAGCTCATTATTGTTAAGCATACATAGTTGTAAAACAGACTATTAGAACTATGTCATCTTGCAATGCTGAAACTCTGAATGCACTAAAGAACAATTTACCCTCTTTTCCACAATATTTGGTAACCACCTTTCTAAGATTTCACTATATTAACTACTGCATATGGGTAGAATCATACAGTGATTTGTTTGTATACATTTTTTGATTTCAGCTATCATGCCATTGAGATGCTTTCTTGTGACAGGATCAGTGAAGGTGAGCATCTTTCCATATGGTCATTGGCCATTTGTATACTTTTTTATAATTTTTATTGTAAATTGACACATTTTAGTTATGTATATTTATGGGATAGGAGTGATGTTATAATCCACAAATACAACACAGAATAATTTAATCAAGCTAGCACCTAACTTTTTTGATATTATTACTCTTTTTGTTATTTCTACTCTCTTGGCAATTTTAAAATGTACATTTTATTATTATAAACTATGTTCAGGGTCCAGCACCATGCCTCACTTGGCTAATCCTCCGCCTGTAGCACTGGCAGCCCATGTGTGTGCCAGGTTCTAGTCCCAGTTGCTTCTCTTCCAGTCCAGCTCTCTGCTATGGCCCAGGAGGGAGTGCAGTGGAGGATGGCCTCAGTGCTTGGGCCCCTGCACCCGCGTGGGAGACCAGGAGGAAGCACTTGGCTTAGGACTCTCTCACTCTCTGTCAAATAAATTAAAATAAATAAATAAATAAATAAATAAATAAACAAACTATGTTCATCATACTATACAAATCTCAAAAAACAAAAACAGAAACAAAAACAAAAAAAACCCCTGAATTGTACCCTTTAATTTTCATCATCTTCCCAGTGCCTTTTCCCACCCTCGGTCACCACCATTCTACTCTGATAGTGGCTCTTTTAAATTCTCAATAATAAATCAGATCATGCAGTACTTGTCTTTGCCTGGCTTATTTCATTTAGTATAATGTTTTCCAATTCCATCCATTAAAGCCTTCTGGGTAACAAAGGAAATAAAATGTACGATGAAAAATGTATGAAATAAAAGAAATATTTGCAAATGATATATATGGTAAAGGCTTATAATTCAGAATATATAACAAACTTCTATAACTCTATAAAACCTCAAATGACCTGATTTTTTTTAACTTTTATTTAATGAATATAAATTTCCAAAGTACGATTTATGGATTACAATGGCTTCCCCCCCATACCGTGCCTCCCACCCACAACCCTCCCCTTTCCCACTCCCTCTCCTCTTCCATTCACATCAAGATTCATTTTCGATTATCTTAATATACAGAAGATCAGCTTAGTATACATTAAGTAAGGATTTCAACAGTTTGCTCCCACACAGAAACATAAAGTGAAAAATAATAGATGATTTTTTTAAATGATGATGAAATCAGATCAGACCTATTGTCATGTTTAATCCCAGTGAGACTCAAGTTGGGAGTTGATAATTTCTTTTTTTTTTTTTTTTTACAGAGGATCAGTTTAGTATGCATTAAGTAAGGATTTCAACAGTTTGCACCCCATAGAAACACAAAGTGAAATATATTGTTTGAGTACTCGTTATAACATTAAATCCCCATGTACAGCACATTAAGGATAGAGATCCTACATGAGGAGTAAGTGCACAGTGACTCCTGTTGTTGACTTTACCAATTGACACTCCTGTCTATGGCATCAGTAGTCTCCCTATGCTCCAGTCATGAGTTTCCAAGGCTATGGAAGCCCTCTGAGTTCTCCGATTCTTATCTTGTTCAGACAAGGTCATAGTCAAAGTGGAGGTTCTCTCCTCCCTTCAGAGAAAGGTACCTCCTTCTTTGAAGACCTGTTCTTTCCACTGGGATCTCACTCGCAGAGATCTTTTGCCAGAGTGTCTTGGCTTTCCATGCCTGAAATACTCTCATGGCTTTCAGCCAGATCCGAATGTCATGGGCTTTTCAGCCAGATCGGAATGCCTTTAGGGCTGATTCTGAGGCCAGAGTGCAGTTTAGGACATCCGCCATTCTATGAGTCTGCTGAGTATCTCACTTCCCATGTTGGATCACTCTCCCCTTTATTTATTGTATCGGTTAGTGTTAGCAGGTACTAGACTTGTTTATGTGCTCCCTTTGACTCTTAGTCCTTTCATTATGATCAATTGTGAACTGAAATTGATCACTTGGAATAGTGAGATGGCATTGGTACAAGCCACCTTGATGGGATTAAATTGGAGTCCCCTGGTATGTTTCTAACTCTACCATTTGGGGCAAGTCAGCTTGAGCATGTCCCAAATTGTACATCTCTTCCCTCTCTTATTCCCACTCTTATGTTTAACAGGGATCACATTTCAGTTAAATTTCAACACTTAAGAATAACTGTGTATTAATTACAGAATTAAACCAGTCATATGGACAATGGGTCCAATAGTTACTGTAGGACAAAGGCAAAGAAGGAAAAACGTGTGAACAGAAATGATAACTAAAGGGGCTCTCTCCAATACTGAGGCCTGAGTGGGGAGAGAAGAGATGAGTGAAATGCACCACACTTCATATGTAGTTAAGGTTAGTGACCATGAGTGACCTTTTATAAAGAAAGGTGGAAAGTAGAGTAGTGATTTTTAAGAGCTCCAACCTGGGGCCTGCACAGTGACACAGCAAGTTAAAGCCCCAGCCTACAGCGTTAGCTTCCCATATGTTGAGAGGAATGGTTGTGGAAAGAGAAGCCCAAAAGACGTGGAGATGATGATAGATGCCTTCACATGCTGTGACCTGAGGACTGATTCTGGACTTCTTGGAGCTGCCCATTTCAGTTCTAGGAGCACAAGGATGGCAAGGGCAGTGAGATTAGCTTATTCTGTTGACAATTCTCTGCAGAGCTCTCTTGATGTCCCTGTTCCTCAGGCTGTAGATGAAGGGGTTCAACATAGGGGTGACCAGAGTGTACATCAGTGAGGCCACAGCACTCTTTCTGGAAGAGGTGGAGAAGGATGCACTGAGATACACACCTAAACCTGATCCATAAAATAAGCAAACGACCAACAGGTGAGAGCCACAGGTGGAGAAGGCTTTGTACTTCCCGTCTGGGGATGGGACTCTCAGAATGGAGGACACGATTTTATAGTAAGAGAAGAGGATCCCTGAGATAGGGAAAAACCCAAATGTGATACCAATAAGATACATGACTATGTCATGTTTGAAGGTGTCATCACATGTAAGATTGAGAAGCTGAGAAGGGTCACAAAAGAAATTAGAAATTTCAGCTGCCTTGTAGCAGGTAACTGGTAATAATATCAAGTTGTGCAGCAGGGATTCCAAAAGGCTGCCAAAAAAAGACACTGTAACCAAGAAAGCACAGCGGCAGGGGTTCATGATGACCTGGTAATGCAATGGATGACAAATGGCGACAAACCGGTCATAGGCCATCACGGTCAGAATCAAATCATCCATGCATCCACAGATGAGAAAGAGAGACATCTGTGTCAGGCAGCCCACATAGGAGATGACTGTGCTGTGAGTGTGGATGTCCACAATCATCTTGGGAACCGTGGTGGAGGTGAAACCCACATCAGCCAAGGACAGGTTGCAGAGGAAAAAGTACATGGGGGAGTGGAGGTGGGAGTCTGAGCTGACAGCAAGGACGATGAGCAGGTTCCCAAGCACCGTGACCAGGTACATGGACAAGAACAGCCCAAAGAGGAGGGGCTGCAGTTCTGTCATCTCTGAGAAACCCATGAGATGGAATTCGGAGACACATGTGACATTTTGTGTTTCAATACACCCTGGAATCCTTCTGAAAAAAAAGTGTTGGTAAAAGGAAGCACACAAACAGGCAATCAGCACATGCACATGTTTTCAGTTCAACCAGTTATGTGTATAGCACATGCTTTAATGTTCTTAGAATAATTGATCTAAAGAGAAAAATTTTGGTGCAATACAATTTTTTATAAGATGTATTTGTTTATTCGAAAGGCAAAGTTATAGAGAGGCAGAGGAAGAGAGAAAAAGAGTTCTAAGAGTTCTTCCATCCACCAGTTCCTCCCCAGATGTCTACAAGGGCCGGAGCTGCCTCGATCCAAAGCCAGGAGCCTAGAGCTTTTTCTGGGTCTCTCATGCAGGTGCAGGGGTCCAAGCACTTGGGCCATCTTCTACTGCTTTCCCAGGCCATAGCAGAGAGCTGTATCAGAAGTTTAACAGCCTGAAATCAAACCAGCTCACATACGGGATGCCAGAACTGCAGGCAGTGGCTTTTACATGCTACACTGCGGGATTTAGGCATTGCTGTGCTAAATGCCCACCCCGGGAGCAGAATTCTGAAAGTCTAAAAGCACAGGCTGATATTGACACTCATGTGATCTTGCACACTTTAAGTGCTAACATCTGTACGCAATAAGGTTATGTAATGACCGGGCTACCTTTCAGCTGAACCCCCATCAAATTTTTGTGCTCTCAGATTCTCCTGCAGGACAACTGTCTCTGTGTTTGTACTGATAGAGTTTCCACTCATACTGCTTCATGATGTATCCACAGCCAACTAGTCCATAGAGGTGATCCTGGTTTCTCTTTATCCACCAGAATCTGCCAACATCACACAATTTTGTGGCAAAATTCACAAGTGATTCCAGTAATGTATGATTTTTGTGCATCATGTAGTGTTCATTTTGCTCCAGAATGTATTTTCTTTAGATTTTTTTAATGAGTGTCATCAATTCATTAGTGGTTAATAAAATATAATGTTGGCCATGCTGATATCAGTAAAACAAAGGAATAGGAAGTCAGTCCAAGGTCTTCATTTCACCCACAGAGTCCTGACTTAACAACATCCATGGACCAAATTCTCTGTAAGAACTCCACAAGCCGGTTAAGGCTTTACATCAAGCCCAGAGGAGCACAAAGCCAAAAGGAACTACCTCAGAGTGAATGGCAGCATTCTTTGTGTTTGTCAGCCAAGGCCCTGCCAGGCCCAGAAACACCATCTCAGGATAAGCAGAAAACCCCCAACTCCTAGCATCTGTCTTGGAAGGGAAAGAGAAGATGTGTTATCATCTCAGGGGCTACCTGAGGAAGTGCGTTATACCTTACCTGACTTGGAGTTCTAATGGAAAAGGCAGTGGCCTATGGGTACCAGATTAGGAGCAACTGAGAACTATGGAAAACACCTAGTTATCCTCCCAGAGCAACTTCAGTACCAGAAGCAAGACACCAGGCAGAGATGAAGATGTGCTCTTGACAACAACTATAAACTCACACACAGCCCAGAGAGGATGCCTCCCAGCAAAGGTTTGAGAATCCCCAACAATCTCCGTGAAGGTCTTTCCCCATATGAATCCAGTCCAGAAAACTTGGGGAAGGTGTTTTCCCCAGTGATCACATCTAACCAGAGAACAAAAGGAATGCATAGAAACTGGGAAATATGACCCAAAGGAACAAATGCTTCACCAGAAATAAGTTACTAAACCCTCTTTAAAGATATGGAGAAGGGGAGGCATCGTGGCGCACTAGGTTAAACCTCTGCCTGTGGCACTGGCATCCCATAAGGGTGCCGGTTCTAGTCCCGGTTGCCCCTCTTCTGATCCAGCTCTCGGCTGTGGCCTTGGATAGCAGTACAAGATGGCCCAAGTGCTTGGGCCCCTGCACCCTCATGGGAGACCAGGAAATAAGCACCTGGCTCCTGGCTTCAGATCGGTGCAGCTCCAGCCGTTGCAGCCATGTGGGGAATGAACCAACAGAAGGAAGACCAGTCTCTTTCTCTCTCACTGTCTGTAACTATACTTGTCAAATAAATAAAATCTTTTAAAAAATAAA